TGCTTTTGATGCTATGCATTTTACATAAACCAAATGCAACTCAATTCTGAATTCAAATGTGCCTTATTTTTACATAGTTTTCAAAATATTTAAAAACAAGGTTCATAAAAATTAAAAAAAAGCATGAAGGTGCAAAGAAATGACATCATGTCATTGAATGGTGCTACACCCTGGTAAAGGAAACTCCACAAATGATGATACACTGTTTTGCTCTAATGAAAAAAGCTAGAGGCAGCAGCAAGACTCAATAAGAGTGAATTCTAGAGAACTCCCTTCAGGGTTGTGCTGTAAATACCAATGCTGTATCTGCAATAGGAATATAAACACGGGACTTCAGCTATGGTTGGACCCTTTGAGATGGGTAGTCTGATCTTTTAAAATTACACAGAATGCAGGTCAAAAAATATATCTTGGTGACAGCTGAAAACTGTTGACCTATCCAGGAATTTAGCAAAAAGCTGCATTTACTTTTTCATTTTTAGAGCTAAGATATTCTGCACTACTAGGGGAAAAGAGCAAGTTTCACCTCTCAGTATCATGAAGACTGTAAACTTATTCTGATGTGTTTTCATTTATATGAATAAATAATTTCCCCAGTTTCAATACTGATATTATGCTGTTTCTGACCTTTTTTGGCTAATACAGATCATTGGAAACAATAAAGTGAATTTTGAAGAGAAAAATGAACAAGGTTCCTTGACTGATAAGTCCCAAAAGAAATCACTGCTGTAAAGACAGTTTAATGTTTTAAAGACAAGACCAATAGCAGGACTTCCTTTAAAAAGTCCTTTATTAACCTGTTAATATGAAAATAGAATGTATTATAATACAAGTGGCTTTATCAGTTCCATCCCTTATTAATAATTAAATAACACCATGGTATTCCAAGTGAATGAATCCTACCATAGTTGATTCAGGATTTTGGCTGATTTCTGTGCAACATTGCTGTATTTCTAAATAGGTGTGGATTTTGTGTCAGTCAATAACCCCTATCCACACAATTCTTCTTATTTTAAAAATACAGAATGGATAGATGAAACACTGAGGGTGCATCTATACAAGATGCTTTAATGCGCTTTACTGCGCATTAATCTAATGCGCAATAAAGTATCCCTGTCTACACGAGTGCATCAATTACTGTGCATTAAAATAGTTTAATGCACCATTTGCTAGTACAAATACATACAGGTACTACAGAAATGGCACATTAAGTAACGCACCAAAGCACAGGTGTAGATCCTGACTGGGAGCACTTTGTTCCTGGTCAGCACAGGCAGCAGGGGGGCACAACTGCTGCCCAGATAAGCCCCAAACTCTGCAGGGCAGGGGGAAGTGTCCTGCACCTGGGACAGCTCCCTCCACCCAGATTGCCCCCCAGGGGAACCTGGATCTCCCCCTGGCAGGGGGCAGCCCTGGACTGAAATGTTCCCATCAGAAGCGTATTTGCTTCAGATGGGCACACACGTTCAGATGTGTGCCAAGGTGCATTTTAATGTGCCTGAATTTTCTGCGCAGAAATTTCAGGCACATTAATTGCAAGTGTAGATGCACCCAAAATGTATTTTTCAGAAGAAAGAATTATGTACCTTCCAATTCAATGGACTAAAAATATTTTAATAAGGGCTTGGGAGACGCATGTTAACTTCCCTTAAGATTCATTTGTGAACCTTATAAATGACTGACTTTTATCACCCAACCTCCTGCCTCTCCAACAAACAGTAAACCTTCAAGAAAACTGGCAAGAAATAAGTGAAAACTGATCTCTAAAGAATGAGCTATTACTGCAGTACTAATAATACTCTCTGCCTCCCACTAAGATTTTCAATGTTTTAATGAACAACAGAACAATATTTGAAAAATAATTCCATATGTACATACTGTAAACAGACCTCAGGCTGTCATACAGATTTGACCTGAAGTGCACTGTACTGTACTGCCTCCACAAAAACAAAAGCCAAGTAAGTACAAAGAGGTACATTTATATGCAGACTCTGCAAGCTTGGGCCAAAGATTCTACATGTGCTGTGCAGCACAACTACCCTGCCACATCATAAAGAAGCGAAGGAGTTTTCTTTCCTTTTCTACATAGTTTAACAAAAAGTAATCCTCTTGTAACTGATGGCACCCAAAGATAAACCTTTAGAACAAGATACAGAAGAGGACCCAGGCACTTAATATGCCTGTACGTGAGCATGGAGGATAAGCCAATCTGCTGTAATTACAGCGCATAGGAACAGACTCGATTAACTGAGTCTGTTGGAGCATGTTAATTACCGTGCTCCAGCAGCCTCCTGCATCTCGTGTATCAGCATCCCCACACTTCAAAATGGTGGTGGGAGAGCTTGAATTAAAGCTCGAATGAGCTTTAGTTCAAGTGCCCCCACCACCATTTTGAAGTGCAGGGATCTGATACACAAGATGCTGCAGCGGTTTAATTAGGGTAGTTGTTGGAGCCATTCTATTTAATGCACTCCCCTCCTCCCCTCTCCCAGAGCACATGTACAAGTGCCCTTTGAGCTGTTTTTTTTGAAAATGTAGATGCCCAAATCCAATGCTGGAATAAAACAAATCTATCTTTCTACTAACACCTAATCCTGGAGGAACCTCTATTCACTGCTCGATATGACATTTCCTGGGTACCTGGTATTTTGCTTCTAGATGTCAGGCAAATCTGTCTCAGTTGGAGAAGCAATATGTCCAGCTCCATTATAAACATGACTGGAATCCAGGAATTAGCGTGTTCTACATTTTCGGACAGGGCTAATTTGGTAAGCCTGATAAAAAACAACTGTGACAGTGCAGCTAAGAATGCAAGATCCATGGGGAGGGAAAGACAGCAAACAAGAAAGGGTATGATTCTGTAGTTTACCAGTTAGGACAGTTACCTGGGCCAGGGATGTTCTGGGTTCTGCTCCCTGTTTCCCAGACTTTTTCTGTATTTTATATAATGACTGATAAATGCAAAATACACAATGTTTCTGGGGCAGGGACCAGAACCTAGGACCTACCACTCTTACGTAACTACTCTAATTGTGAGGCTAGAGCATCATGCTCTCTTTTGCTTGCTGTCTCTCTGGACCCATGTATCATGCATTCTTGGCTGAAGTCTTTGTTAGATGTAGCTCCTAAAAGCACAAAAAATGAGATGGAAGGCTAGAAATAATACTGTAAATGGCATTATAATTCAATAAATACTGTATTTGCAAAACTCAGCAAAGATTCAATAACCAAAATATCAACAATGTTTTTTAATGACACAAAATTAATAGTTGTAAGAGGTCACAGATTTGTTCAACATTAAACGTTTTAATAACAAGCCAATTTTAAGTTATAAGAGGTGTGACCCTCCAATCTAACACCTTGTGCTGTAAAATGAATTGTGAACGTTCCTCAGGATTTAAGCACTATGGAGCCAGCCTTGCTACCTGGTACAAAAATTATTTACATCAGTGATGGCCAACCTTTTTGGCAGGCTGGCCACAGATCAACCCCTTGCCACAGATCAACCCTGTTTGTGCCTGCCACTTTAAGGGCCTGGAGCTGGCAGCAGCCGGCAGGTGCCTGATGAGAGCAGCAATTTTAGATTCAGGGCTGCCCACATAAACAGGGCCGTTCTGATGCTGGAGCCTAGGCAATAACATCGCCTGGCTGGAGGGCTGCTGGTATCATCTGGAGGTAAGGGAGGAGCTATAGGGGATGGTAAGGAGGCTCCTGGTCCTGGGCATGACCTAAAACTGCACCCTGCTGGGAGTGGGTGGCCTGGTGGGGCTCTCAGTGGTGCGGGAGCCCCCAGGAAATGCCAGGCCAGTTACCACCCTGGTGAAAGGCAGGGCGGGGCGCCTTAACCGCTAGCCCCCCCAACCGGGTGGGTTACCCCTTTGTTGGAGGGTCGGGAAGGTGGACCCCATGGCAAAAGAGTAAGGGCCATAGACTCACGCCTGTCTGAATTTCCCGAGCTGGGGCCAGGACTGGAAGGGTCGAAGGGCCGGGGGGGCCCACTGTGAAGAACGCCCAAGAGCTGAGGGCCTGGGGTTCTGGCTGGCCTGGAGGTGGGCCAGCGCTAGAGAGCCGAAGGTCCCAGTGAGGGGATCACACCCGAAGGGAGATCAGTTCAGGGAGCTATGGTGCCCGGTATGACGGCGGAAGAGACCGCCTGAGGGGAAGGAATCCAGGTGGGGTTCAGTAGTAGGATTCATGGGCCCAGTGTGGGGGCCGATGACGATGAGAACTAGAGATGCCATCTGCGAGGCTTGGGCTGCGGTGCAGGGGAGGAATGGAGCCGCAGATAGCGCCCCCTGGCATCAGGGCATGAAATGGGCAGCCTCCTGCTTAATTGACATCTATCAATTAATTATACCAACAAGGCATGGCAGGCGAGAATGTGGGCGGTTGGCCCAGGAACAGGTGGGCGGGCCATGGTTAGATTGGCCCCGAGCACCCCCCATTACAAACCTCAAATCCCTTCCTGAGTTATGCTCTGATCACCTTCTCCTGCCTGATCAGCTGCCATTCTTTTTGTTTCCTGCCCTATTCTCCCTGCTTAATCTGCTGCTCTGTTTTCTGCTCTCTGCCCTATCTGCCACTGTGCTGCCTACCCCTGCCTTGCTCTACTGTGTGCTACACATGGATTCTGCCCATGCTATGTGTGATGCACATGCTTCAGGTTGGCCACCCTTGATTTATACCACTGGTCCAGCTTTGGCCCAGATTTCATTTCTGTTCCTCAGTTCTGGAAGCACCTTACATAACTGATAGATCTGTTCAATATGGCAATTATGGAATGAGCTACTATTTATCATCAAAAGAATCTGACCTTTAAAAGTTCTCCCTCTCTCATGTTTTAGTTGCAGTGTTCCCTATATTTGTCTGGAAACCTCTATCTGACTATGTTTTTAAAAAGTTAATTATCTATTGTCTCCCTCTGACTTGATGAAAAATTACGAGTTTATCTTAAGGGGTTTTTACTTCATACTATAAGCTCCCAAAAGAGTCATACTTACATCATGCATGGAGTCAAGAAGCTTAGTCAGTTGGTAGAATCGTTGCCAACTCTGCCCAGAGTTACTTGGACATTTAGTTACCATCTTCTTCAGTTCTTTAATGTAATTTGCCCTCATTTCTTCAAATGCAGCTTGGCTTTTGAGACCATCTCTGGGAACTGTCATTCAAAAGAAAGAGTCCTATATTAATATTCAGTTAATTGAATGTTCTTTTGCTATGTACATTAAAAATTAAGCTAATTAATGGCTAGAGGAGTTACAAAGTATCTTTGTGTTATACAGGTTCTGTATTTCACAGAGGTAGAAACACCAGAAGTATTTTCAGACAATGCCAGAACTTTCTCCAGATTTGGGCAGGCATGCTACCATTTTGAAATGCAGCACATGCTACCTATGTATTGCAGTGCTTTTTCATTTTACTAAAGCATGAAATATGGCAGAAGAGGGCAGAAATCTTTAGAAGCTAAAGGCATTACATGCTATCACCTGACCACTATACTTTGCTTGAGGGGGAAATGCACAGTACATAATTGCAATGTCTTTCATACTATACTTAAATTTAGCTGTTAGGTATGGAAGTACTAAAATTATATGTTTCTTGTGCAATCAAACAGTGTCTGAAGGTTTTGACATAGTGATCATGTGCATGATATTTGAAAGTAAACAATGCCACCACACTAATATTAAAAGGGTTTTTTTTCTCCCAAGTAGGCATCCTACCAAAAGATTTGACCAGATTGAGTTTTGACCAGATCTGAGTTTTTCCTCCCATTACCCTTATTCAACATCACATCTGTACTACTGAAAGGGGCTGTATTACACAAAAGGACTAAAAGCCCAATTCTGGATCATTACATGGCCTAGTTACTAGTGTGAGTCAACAAGGCTATTTATTCAAGAAGTTCCAAAACATTTACTGCAGAAATATTGAATTGATTTAGAACCATTTGTAAGATAAGACCTGTAGTCAATCTTGGACCTGTCCATGGGAAGGTTACCAGCAAGGTTCAGCCATATACTAGGATGTTTCAATACTCATTAAACTGGTTAGGTTCCATTGAGCCACTAAATATAACATCATGGATCTATTAGCTTGGGTCTGAAACAGGAAAACTAAATACTTCACTATGCAAGAAGTGAGTTTATTTTCTAAAAATAAAATAAGCTAGACAGTCACCTATATCAAATTGTTTTAAAAGTGTGTTGACGGCAACTTTAACCAGGTTGCCTTCTACATACCTTCCTCCCTATTTGCAATCCAATGAACCATCTTTGATCTCACTGTGATCACATGAAGACCTTGTGTCTATAACCAAACTGCTTAAGTGGAGAAATGTCAAGAAAGAATTTAGCATGTTTTAGCTGTCTGCAGAAGCAACTACCTGAGGCAAACAAAGTTCTACAACCACGTAATTAGCAAGTACCCATTGAATCACTACCACCACGCATTGAACACCCAGTATGTGAACTCTTGGTTTAGGAAAAATAAAATAAGCCTAAAGGCAATTATGGCAATCTGCACACCAACAGGAAATAGATTTTATTCTTTACTACTGGAACCTTAGAGAGTAAAATCTATTTTACTCTTTTCACTTTAAAAGGAAATAACAAAAGCAACAGTGGTTTTTAGCCGGAATTGTGATCTCAATCCACATCCATTCAAGGTAAAGATTTAGATGTCCACCAATAAAAATAAAGAAATTATCCCAAGCTATGGCACTAGCATAAAATATAAGGATAATATTTTTTATTTATTACTTATAGAGCCATCCAGATAAAAATAGAAAAAGTATACCTTTTTTATCAAGACTTCTGTATTCCTCATGGTTGTTATAAAATGTGAGTTAAAGCCACCCTAGTCTAACACTATTTCTTTTAGTTTACTGCTGTATCTGAAAATTATTATATCATGATCCGAGCTAGATTATAAAAAAGAAAAAAAATAAGACCACAAATAAAGAGAACTCAAGCAAAACACCAGATTCTGGAGGCCTGCCCAGTGTTTCTGATTTTACTTATTAAATGCAGCAGAGCTACTGGCAATCTCCCAAATTCTATGGGCTGGGGGAAAGCAAGAAAACAATTGAGATGTAATGCGTGGTTTCCTCCACATGTAAATGGAGTGAAACTTCCTTGATGTGGTCATCATGAAAGTTTCAAAATAACTTGTACACTGCCTGTCACATGATTCAATTAAAAAAATGAAATTAAAACAAGCCTGGTATTTTCTATCATAATATACCATTAAGGTAAAGGTATTTAGAAATCTAGATTAAAAAAAACCTCTGTGGGTTGATATTTTCTTCATTTTCTTTTTGTCCTACTTTTGTCCATTTTAAGGTTGTATCATGCAACATCTGGAACATCCCAAAGCTGCCAATATTTTGGTAAGCCTTCTTGTGACATTAGTGACACATTGTTCATTTAAGACTAAAATAGCTAGTTTAATTTAACTGACATAGGTCACTCTTACTCAATCTCAATGAACTCACACTTTTTTTTTAATATTCTGAGGAAAAGGTGAAATAATAAATATTTATTTTTGCTAAAGAACTATGGCCACCTTACTAGAATTGCTTTAAAACATTTCTGTTTTTCTATAGGTTATCCCCCTATCGATCCATCTTTATTCTATACTGTCCTAGTTGATATAGGTTACTAGAACTGCTATCATCACTACAGTTTGGGGGGGAAGGTCAGGTAGATCCACAAAAGGATTGAATATGACTGGCTGCCAAAAAAACCTGGCATCCTCAAGAAGTCTGTTTAGCTGCTGCCTACATCTAGAGATCCTTGAAGTTCCTAAGTACCTAATTTTTCACCAACAGGCAAAACAATTTGAAATATTTTAGTGTTAACTGCAGCCCAAATATCCCCTCTCTCAGTTGAGTACCTTAGTCATTACTCTTGTATACTCCTAATCTCTCTGGCCCGTGGTTATTTAAATAGTCCACATAAAATAGAAAAGCTTCAACAGAAGGAACTGACAGGGCTGTGTCCCAGGATGCCTTACAGCCTGATGGCTAAAAGTGTTCAGCTGGGAGGTAGGAGATTCAGGCAGAGAAGGGACTTGACCTAGGGTCTCCCACAGGCCATGCCACTGCCACCACTGCTGTTTTGTATGAAGAGGCTGACATAAGCACCTAGCTCTGAGAACGTACAGGGTTGTGGATCCTGATTAAAGGGGTACTTAAGTCCCTCTGAGGGATGAGGACCCATTTTCTCAGTATTTGCTATTAGCTAGCTTAGGCATCCTCCTGATCAGCAGGCTGGTTTTGTGGATCCTTTTCTTAGGCATCTGAGAGCTTAACATATTTATAAGCCTTCTGCTGATAGAAGTTCCACCACCAGACAGCCACTCCCTTAGGGAAGCTACCAAAGTGCATCTCCCCCATCTGCACAGCTCCACTACATCAGCTGTATCAGCATGGCACACAGTACAGCCTGGGAGGCACCACCCTGTTAAAGGGGTAGCAGCTACTAGCAGAAAAATGTGGACCTATCTGTACTGGAAACCCAGAAATGTTTTCTGGGGGGCTCCCAGCCTCAGCAAAAGCCTTCTGTCATCCAGAGAGTAGGCATTTCTCTATAAGCAAAAAAAAGGGCCTCTGTCATTGCAGAGTGTGGATAAACACCTGATTTCTTCTGGCAAAACTATTTGTGTAGACCAAGACCAAGTCTCTCCCCTTGCATTGTTTATGGAACAAATGCACTTAACTCAGGGCTATAAATTCCAGTAGTGCAGTCTGATACTGCAATCATCATCACTGCCCTGTTGTGGGTCACTCCTGAGTGCTCTTCACTAGTGCATTTAAATGAAGTGACTAACATCTGTCACTTACAGTTTGTTCTTGTCCTCAGGGAGAGAACTGGGCTATGCCCCTATGGAGGAAGGGGTGCAAATAAGAAAATCTTAGCTTAGGTGCTGAGCTTCACTCCACACAAGTCTTGGGTAGAGTTCCATTATGGGGACTGGGCAGGATCCATCATGCTCTTTAAACCAGGCTGAAGAAACCTCTGACTTGTACCTACTTCTAGTAGCTTACAAGTAATAGCCAGGAGTAACTGAAATGCAATATTATTCTGGCCATTTTTAGTAGTCCCCTTTTCAGCAGTCAAGCGTTCTTTACTTCTTACACTATACTGGATCATTAACTAGCTGATTAACACTAGCTGATTAATTCACTCAAGTCACAGTACCATATCTGTGGCACCACAAAAAGTTCTCTTTACAATCTTTGTGATTGGCACTGATGGAGAAAGAATATACAAAATGTTCTTGCTTCTTTAATATCAATGTTTTTACTTATTTGCTACAATGTGAATTTTAAATCTTAAAATTTAGGGGAGTATAACAAAGTAGATAAAAAGGATGATTATTGCTTACTTCTTTTAATTACCACTGAGATGCAATTATTCATCCTCAAAACAAACTCTTTGAAACACAAGTCCATGTTTAAGAACAAAGAAAGACAGGGTAAGCTGGTGTACTATAGAATACCATAGTACTTACATTATTTGAATATTAGCAGTATAATCACTTCAGAGTACACCAGGAATGTACACTTGAACATGATGGCACCTTTAAGCCATCTAGATTGGGGGGTGCTCATCCATTGCAACTCCATTTCATGAGATGGCAGCACACACACTGTGTGCTTTGTTCCTTGGTTCATGCATGGAGGGATAGGGCCTGCTGCTGCTTCACCTGCTTTGGGTTGTATGACACAGAGCACATAAAGCAGCTCCTGATGTTATGGGAAGTTGGAATTGTAGTTACAACATGCAGCTATGTAACGTGGCCTTTTCCATAATTCTTCTGTGAACCTACAGACTAGTAGGACACAATTTGGCTCTTTTGTTACTCAAGTCAAATTCTCTGCACAGTTCATGAATTTCAGGTGCTGTGCCCTCTTGAGCTAAATCAACCTATTTTCTAACAATTAGCAAGCACACTGGGATAACCTACCCGTGCTTAATAGCAGCAAAACTTTCATGATGGTGTATTCTTCAAAGCTAAGTTGCAAGCGAACAAACTGCAGGCTGATCTGGTGCATTCCCTGGCAAAGTTCAAACATAGCAGAATGGCGCATCCGTTCCCTGGGAAAAAACAAGCACAAAAGACTCACATGTGAGAATCCAAAATGCATGCCACAGAGAAGCCAAAGTGCAACCTAATAGCCAAACACCAAACACGGAGTCCAATGATAAAGCCTATAGCTTCATTAATATTTAGAATTAGGGCTTAGAGAGAGACCATATTTGGTCCATGTTGTTCGAAGGGGTGACTGTTTCCTTGTGCCCCAGGACCATGCAGGCACTTTAAAACTAGCTGATCTTTCCACACCCTTGTTACTGAATTCTGCCTTTGGAAGACACAGAGCACAAACTTTTTTAAACTGAGAGCTCCACCGCATTCCAGGTGGATAATAGATTTCACTAAAAGGTGCTTAAGAGGGGATGTAATAGTAGTCTTCAAATACTTGAAGGGCTGCCATAAAAAAGGAGGGAAAGCACCTTTTCTCTCCTGCTGCATAGAGAAGGACATGAGCCAATGGCTTGAAATTGCAGCAAAGTAAATTTAGATTGGATATCTGGAAAAAACTTCTTCACTGTTACAACAGTGAGGCAGTGGCATAGACTGCCTGGAGGTGTTCAAGAAGAGGTTGGACAGCCACTAGTCCAGGATGATCTAGGTGTAGCTATGCCTATTTGCTACCATAGGCATTTCTCACATTTCTGGGTTTTGCTGCTTGCTACCACTTCCCCTTCCTCCTCCTTTTTCTGCTAGTTAGGGTGCTTTTAAGCTTCCCCAGAAGCGTTTAGTGTTGGCTACATCTAAGGCTGGGGACTTCAACATGGGTGGACAGACACTTCCTGCTAGGAGCAAAGCTGGAAGTTTCTCAGTAGAAGGATCTTGCCCCTCTGTTCAGGGTCAGACCGATCACCATATCTGAGGTCAGGAAGGAATTTAACTCCATGGTTAGATTGGTATGGACTTGGGGGGAAGGGAGGGGAAGGAGTGTTGCCTTCCTCTGTAAGGGAGGAGGCATGGCCCTTCACTGAGGACCTCTTAAGTGTATATTGACAACATTCTACAGAAGCAAAACATTGGCTGCTGTGGCCCTGCTTTATCTGTGGCATGTTGTGATCTATGTTGTGTCACGGTTGAGGGAAGTTTTATACAGGATTTAGATTATGGTTGTATGGGGTGGTTTGGACAGCGATGATCCTGCTTCAGGTAGGGGGTTGAACTAGAGGACCTCTGGAGATCCCTTCCAGCCCTACTTCTCTATGACCCTATGACTATGAAAATAGTAACTTTGGTTAAATGGACTTACTGAAGGTAAACTAGGTTGATGTTATATGCTAGCAAAAATAGCTAGAAAACTCAAGGGAACCATCATTAATATTTGAGCATTAAGAGCTGAAATGTTTACTTGTAATAAAGTAAATTTAAAAAAAAAAGTATTTTTAGGTTGCAAATGTATTTTTAGCATTCATGGCAGCAGGCAAGAGTCCTTGAAATGACAAGATTCCACAGAGGACATATTGGATATTATAGGTAATACCATATTGTTTATATTTTTTTAATTACATAGTCAACCCGGCACATTGTACAGCGAACTGGTTAAGCATATGCAATCTGAGTGGAAGAATTAAACTTAGTAGAGAGAGGGGAAAAATATAAGGCCGTTTTCTACAAAAATCAGGAATAGTTTAGACAGTGTTTTAACATACAGGCAGCCAGTATGACACTGTCTCCTACAGCATTCTTGTTAACAAGTTAAGGAAATATAGACTAGACAAAAAGTACTGTAAATAGATATGAAACTGTTTTGTTCATCATGCTCAAAGAGTACTCATCAATGACTCAATGGCTAGTTGAGAGGAAGTATCAAGTGGGACTCCCTAGGTATCTGTCCTGGGTCCAGTCTTGTTTAACATCTTCATTAATAATCTGGATGATGGGATCAAGTGGATGCTTAGCAAATTTGTGGATGACACCAAACTGGGTGGACTTACTAGGATCCAGAATGACCTGAGCAGACCAGAAAAATTATCTGAAATCAATCAGATGAAATTCAACAAAGATAAATGTGAAGTCCTGCACTTGGGATGGAAAAATTGCACGTACAAGTACAGACTGGGAAATGACTAACTAGCCTGCATTACTTATTATTGCACAGAAGGACCTGTTCAGTGCTCTTGTTGGAAAAAAACCCAAAAAACAAACCCCAGCCAAGAATATACTGGGTTCTATTAACAGAAGTATCACTTGCAAATCAAGGGAAGTAATTCTTCCATTTTATTTGACACTGGTCAGGTCTTACCTAGATTATGGTGTCCAGTTTTGGGCCTGAAACTTCAAGAAAGCTGTGGACAGATTGAAAAGTGTCCAGCACAGAGCAACAAAAATGATTAGGAGGCTGGGAGGTAAGACTTATGAGGAAATGCTGGAAGCACTAGAGTTATATAGTCTGCACAAAAGAAGACTGAGAAGGAATTTGATAACAGTCTTCAAATACCTGAAGGGCAATTATAGAGAGGATGGAGATAAGCTTTCTTCTGTGGCTGTATAGGACAAGACTAGGAGTGATGGCCTCAAACTACAGCAGAGGAAATTTAGGTTGGGGATTAGGAAGAACTTTCTGATTATGAGGGTGGTTAAGCACTGAGAGAAGTTGTAGAATCTCCATTTCTGGAAATTTTCAAGAACAGGTTAGATATTTTCAAGAACAGGTCAGACACTTGGCTGGAATCATGGGCAGATCCAGGATTTTGTAAAAGGGGTGAGGGACCAGGGACTGGTGCCACAGGAGTAGCTGCAGCCCCTTGCTCACAGCTTTCCCTCCCCCCAGGATGGACAGAACACACCACAGGAGCAGCAGCCAGGGACCTTTCTTTAAAGCCCCCCAAATCAGGTAAGGCACAACAGTGGCACAACAGCCACTGCCACTGTCCTCACACTCTTCAGATGCACTAAGGACTGGTGGGGGGGAAAGGACTCCAGAGCCACTCCTATCCTGCTCCAGTCAGGTTGCATGAGGAGCAGAGCTCAAACTACACTTTGACTCTTGTGGGGGGGGGGGGGGGGGGGGGGGTCTACAAAAAAATAAATTGGGCTGCCCATCACGATGCCCTAATAGAATCAGAGATCCCCCCCCCCATTATGATCTTCAAATATTATAGGGGGGCTGTCGTCTCGGGGGGGGCGCTAAGCTCCCCTCCCCCGAGCTCCCCCATAATTCAAACCCTGATGGGGAGGCAGGCTCAGCTAGGGACAGAAACAGCAGCAATGGTGGCAGGTCCCTGAGCATGCTCCCAGGGCTGATAACACACAGGTGATCTGGCAGAGAGAAGAAGCCCATTTGCTGCTCCTGCTGTCCTAAGCTAAGCCCGGCTCACCACACCACCCATCTGGAGTAGGGCAGGAGTGGCTCTGGAGTTCCCCACACCTCCTTCCAGCCCCAGGTCAGTAGGGGACAGTAGAGGCAGCAGCAGTGACAGGCAAGGGAACAGAGAGGATATGTCACTGAGCATGGGGAAGGGTCTTACCTTATTCATGGACTTAAAAAAAATCCATGGTTGCTGCTCCTTCAGTACGAAAGTGGGGTGTAATTGCACCAGTATCTTCCCCCGGACCCTGCCACTGGCTAGAATGGTTTAATCAGGGATGATCCTACCATGAGCAATGGGCTGGACTAGATTACCTCATGAGATTCCTTCTAGTGCTACTTTCCTATAACCTTGATTATGTTTTGATTAGATAGGGACAATCTTGCTTTGAGCAGGTGTTTGGGCTAGATGACCTCCTGAGGCCCCTTTCATCTCTATTTTTAAAAAATTCTATTATTCTATATGACCTCATCATTGTGGATACTGTTATATTATAAAAAATACAGTTGACAGTTTTAGGAGAGGAATACGAAATGAGGTCTACAGCTTATAAAATAAAATTAATAGCTGCATGTTGTCTCCTTTAGACCACTGGTGTATACTATGAAGGAATCGGTAGCTTAATGCTGTGGAAGGATAGAGCCTATCAGGACTCAATAATAGTGCATCAACCATTCTAGACTTCTGACTTGCTAGCATTAACACTCCCAAAACAACAGATAATTCTATTTCCAAAGTTCTAGTTACTATTTTCCTGGCAATGTAGCTCATTAAGTTACAAGAAGAAATACGTGCAAAAGTGAATCAAAGAAATTATTTTACAATTACTGACATTCATTGCATTTAGCATAATACATTAGATTTCCTACAACTTTCCCTAAAGCTTTCACCTATTAGTCAAAGTACTGCAGTTTTACTGTATGAGACTCTTAACTAACTATCGACTGTGTGTGTGTGCCTGTGTGTGCGCGCGCGCGCATGGACGTTTATATTGTAACATAATGCCCTATTTTTTTAAATTCCCCAGGCAGTCTAGAATAAGGAAGTTTATACAAACAAAACTCTTATTCACTAATAAAAATTCTTCCCCCGTATGTTAAGAGTTACATAACAATATGTCAGCATAACATATAATACAAAAGTGAAATATTTTGTAGTCATGGTTTCAAAAGACACTTAAATTTTACTTTAAGCTTAGGTTTCAAATTTTACTTTCTTCTTAGATCTTCAACTACTTTTTCCTAGGCAACATTAGACGAAGCTTTTCTGCATTAAAATTTAGGGCAGGACTAATTACAACATTGCTGTATTACTTAAGATTACATTCCAAGCCACAAAAGGTATACACAAACAGGCATGAGAATCTGGACTGCCTGGCTCATTCTGAAATTACAATTAAACTGTGGGTGTTAGGAAAAGTATTATAATTGTTTAATGACCACAACCCAGGTTTGTTTGTTTTTTTATCAGTAACATTTTTCTGAATTCCTTCAAACATTTATTCACATAATTGAGGGATTGGATGAAGTTCAACTAATTATTTTAACCAAGCAAATGGCTTTTCAAATATACAAATTGGCTGATGAAAGAGAAAAAATCACACTGTGTGCAAACAAAAACTTACGTAATCTTTGTGGTGTTTTATTTCACTATTTCCTTAACAGATTTTTGTCCTTCTGAATGCTAAGAGAAATGACTCC